AATTTGTTTTTTTATACGCTCAATTTCATGAATTTAGAAAAAAATGTCAGTTTTAACGAAATGTCAGTTAAGGGGAGGAGCGGCAGGAGCCCAGCAGGAGTAGCTGTGACTAAGATGGAGTGCAGTGTTAATGGAAGACCTACAAGGGAGGGAGGGAGGGGGGGAGATTTCTTAAGAGTACCCTCCTTTCCACACGTTCTCACTGCTCGATTCAATTTAATTTGTCTTCTCTGGGCACAAAGAACTAGGCGGCGCTTGAATGCCCACCCTTTTCTTTGTGGGTTTTTTGGAAAGGTTGTGAATCTAATTTAAATTTAGTGTGTCCTGCTTTATATCAGGCAAGAATGGTAACAGTGTGCACCACGTTTCATGGCCGCACTGATGGCATTGGCAGTTGGTTCCCAGTTGAACCGCAGGCTGGCGTTACAACTTCGCAGCTTCCCAATTCAGAATCATGATCTTCCCTCTTCCCTCTCACGCGAAACAGGGGGCCTCGCTCCACTATTCTCGACATGCACAAAAGATAAAAATGATGGCTGCGTATCTTTCCATGTTCTAGCAGAAGATTCACTCTCGGGTTGCACATTTCGATCGAGATTCGAGAGTAGTGGAACGATCCCCATCGCTGTTGCTCACCTACCCTTCATCCTACAGCAGTGTCAGCCACTACGACTTCACTGGACACTGAGGAGAGTCTAGTACTCGGTCAGTGCCGTGACACCAACTGCGAAGTTGTGTAAGCCACCAGACTGAGTCCGTCCGACGCACTGTTCTTCTTCGGTGCTGGAAACGTGCTACACGTCTGACTCAAAGAAAAATGCCACCGTGCGGGCCTGCCTCTGGCTGGCACTGCTGGCCAGCCATTTTTCCGAGGTGCCAGTGAGTCAGCGACCGAGTTGCGGCAGCATGCTACGGCAGCTACGCTGCAACTTGGGAAAAAAAAAGGTTGGGAAAAGGACTAGTGACATAGTAAACCCCCCCTGCAGAAGTCTCCGCATGTTTATGCTCAGGCAGCTCAGCATACCATGAAGAGACGGTCAGGTATTTTTTTTCTTTTTTTTTGGGGGGGGGGGGGGGGGGGGGGGGGGGGAGGGGGTAACTACAGTAGAGTCGCAAAAAAAGCTGGAGTTGTAATTGCACTATGGGGCAAGATATACAGTTTGCAATTGCACTTCAGACCCCTGCCTGGCCAGAAAGCTGGGTTGTATACATTGCCCGAACTGCAATTCGAAACTGTATCTTGCTTGTTGTGTAGTACAGTGTGTGCCAACCAACCGAAGTACCAACAAGAGAAACGTACATAGCATGCACGGCAATCCCGAAGAGGAATAGAAGTCGACGAAGAAGCAAAGGCAGTAGGAGGATAGCACGAAAGAAGGAGGAGGAGAAGATAAGGCGATATAGAGAGAAAAGAAGGGAAAGATGGTACGCAGTGATAAAAACGTAAGTCCCGAGCACGACAGTTAAAAATATAACAACGAATCCAGGCGGAGTGACCCCACTAGAACTTTCGGCCGGCCGCCACCGGCACTCTTCAGGGGTCCTCAATCGCGGAGGGTAACTTGCTTGGCCCATAGTGCACTGCAATTATACCCCTTTTTCGTGACTCCCGCGTAGTTTCCCCTCTAAGACTTTGTTTCTCCGTTTTTCTGGCCTCTCCCTTTTGACAAACGAAGTACATATTACATGGGTTTCCCAACTGTCGGGTGATCTGTTTACTCACAATCCAATGCGTGCAACATTACGACACATGAGCTGGTTACTCACCATCCATCAGTACAAACGAACATATTGAATTTCCTGTGTGAACATCGTCACTACCGTCTTCACCCGAACAGAACGGCCGGTAATTATCGCCGTATCTGGGCTGACAGTTGTGCCAAATACAGCTATAATGACCGGGCGTTCTATTCGGGTGAAGACGGTAGTAGTACACTACTACCAACGCTACATTCATGAAGCTTACCCATGCTGATTCAACAAATTGGAAAAGGAACATTAAGCGTGCATGTGACACCAGCATCACATTTTCCTTGCGATTTTCTGAACAGGAAGGCAATAATTATTTCTTCGTTAAAAGGGAAGAAAGAAGACAGACGAACGATTCGTAAGTGAAACAGTGAAACAGTGAAACAGATGATATGAAGTACAAAAAAGAATTAAAGGTAATAAAGTAGGCAATGTGGTAAAAACGATCAAACGTGAAGGAGAAGGAAACGGCAAACGATTCGTACCTAGAACCTGCATGACGTCGTTGAAATTCTTAGGGAATTATTGTTTGTCTTGATTCAACAAAAAAAAACACACGTCAGCAAAAAGCATCTTTCTACGTAGAATAGATACCGAAAAGAAAGAAGGGAAAAAAACAATGAAAAGTTTGACCCAAAAAAATAAATAAAAATACCGGCAATTTCGACGTAACACGTTGATGTCAAACAGATTTTTTCAACTTTTCAAAACCTCTTTCTACGTCGGACGCACGTACAAAAAAAAAAAAACAGCGATTTCTACGTGGGACGTACAAATCATAGAAAATTCCTAAAATTTCTAGTCTTAGAACAATGTCTCCGCACTGTGTAGTATGTACCCCGCACACGAGCGATTTCAACGGAAGCCGTACATATCGTACGGCATTTTCAACTCCCGCAAAGCGATTTCAACGGAAAACGTACAAATCGTACAGAATCCAAGTATAAAACACTCCTACCTAAAGTAATATACACTAGAAAAAAGAAAAAAAAAAGGTACTACACTCATCACCGTTTCTTTTTCCTCTTTTTTCTTAAATTTTTCCTTTCTTTTCTTTTCTTTTTTCTCTTTCTTCCTCGGACGGTAGTGACGGATGGCTCCGTCACAACGAGATATCGTCAGGGCTAAACATCTGTGGCAGATCAACTAGCCTAGACCAGTCGGTACATCCATGAGCTAGCGATTTCGAAACCGGATGGAAATAGATGAAAGATAATGCCGCAAAAAAAAAAGAAAAAAAAAGAAAAGCGAAATATCATCCTCTACAATCATTCCGTTGGTTCCGGACTCTGGAATCTCACAGTACTTTCCCTCTTCGTCCGATTGGGCGCCTCCCGTAACCCGTTCATCTTGTTTTCTTCACCCTCGTCCCGGCAGCGAGTCTTCAGTGCTTCTTCACTGAATCTTCACCGTTTCTTCATCAACCACACGTTTCCACTGTATAAGATTGCACATCCCAGCAGCAGCCAATGATCGCCGGGACAAGACAAAAACACAACTGTGGATAACACCGAACACCTCACCGACCAATGCTTGATTGATGGGAGAATTCGGAGAAAGACAAGAACAGCTCGACACTGAATGGGTAATCGTGAAACAACTGACGGATCGAAGGGCAAGAGAGACGGAGAAATGAAAAATATTGTTTTGACCAACTTGCCTGGCTTTGAGACCGGATACGTCCAAGAAAAGTCTAGTACAAGGATGTTCGAAGCCGCTAACGGATAAGACTCGACAGTTAGAAATGGATAAGGATCAAACATTTTTAGCGGACAGCACATTCAGAAACACCTGTGTGACCAAACGGCAACACCGAGGGAGTAGTCATCTCTCGAGTCTTGACCGAATTCGGCCGACATTGAGGCCAGATGCATCCAGAAAAGTCAACTACGAGGATGTTCATAGCCGCTAACGGACAAAACTCAGCAGCTAAAAATGGGTAAGGATCGAACATTCGAGCAGACAAGATCTTACGAAACTCACGACAACGTCACCGCCAACCTGGCCTCGGCTACCTTGACATGAAGCGCCAAATACGGCCACGTACGAGTCGTGGAACTTGTACGCGAAGAGAGGCAGTGAGGCAAAGCATCCATACGCGAAGAGAGGCCGCAGTGAGGCAAAGCACCCAACAGTCCCGATATCAACTTAAGAGAGGCAGTGAGGCAAGGCATCCATACGCGAAGAGAAGCATTGAGGCAAAGCACCCAACAGTCCCAGTATCAACGTAACTAAAGCCTAAACGCTGGGATGCGACTGTATTACTGTATGTTCTGATAAGCCAGCACGAAACAGACACAGAAATATCTTCCACCCCCCCCCCCCCCMCCATGTGGGCCACCTACCTTGACATGGATCGCGATATAACCGAGCACCTAAGGGCGTACTCACACTAGCAGTATCTCGAACGTATCTGACCACATTCACGCCATACCTGGATGTATCTGGCCACAGTTCCGTCCAAAACTCCGCAAAAACGTAGTAGTGCGAGTATGCCCTAAGCCCCGTACAGCTTGTCCGTGAAAAGACGACTCGACACGGAGAGAGGCATTAACGCAAAGCGCCCAACAGTTCCGATATCTCCGTTAGCTAAAGCCTAACCGTCTGCCTTGTGCATGAAAAGACTCGTGCTGGCTTCCAAGTACACAGCACCGAAACTCGAGAGAAGCCCTGCATTGACGCAAAGCGCCCAACAGTAACGCTGCTTCGGTGTTCTGTATTTAGAAGCCAGCACGAAATAGAGACAGAAATAACCCCCCCCCCCCCCCCCCCGCCACCATCTGGCCCACCTACCTCGACATGAAGCGCCATACCACCGCGTAAGGGTTGTACAGCCTGTACGGGCGAAGAGAACCACTAACGCAACACGCCCCCAACAGTAACGCTGCTTCGGTGTTCTGTACTTGGAAGCCAGCACGAAATAGACACAGAAATATCCCCCCTGCCCCCCCCCCATCTGGCCCACCTACCTCACATGAAGCGCCATACCACCACGTAAGGGTCGTACAGCCTGTACGGGCGAAGAGAGCCACTGAGGTAACACGCCCCCAACAGTCCCGATATCTACGCAGAGAAAGGCCTCATTGCCCTAATCCGGCTCGGAACTGCTTCGGTGCTATGTTCTAATTAATAAGCCAGCCGCACGAAGTATTATGGTCTGACTCATTACTTCGTTGTTTAACTCATTATCGAGGTGCTGACCCGCTCTGTATACGGTGGCCGGGGGAGGGTAACGACAACCGTCTTCCCCCGAACACAACGCACCTTCATTATGCCTGCATCGGACTGGAAAGATCGCTTATATACATTTGATAACGAGGGTGCGTCGTGTTCGGCGGAAGACAGTAGCGGTAGTAGCGCCGTTTCTCGTTGACTTCCCGCTTGTCCACCCGTCGGGCTAGGAGCGTTTTCCTTCCTCCTCCTTCTCCTCCTCCTCCCCGCCTTCCTTGGCAGCGACGTCAGAGAGCGGAGACTTGGTCTTGTACTTTGACTCGTCGATCTCCACCCCCTTCACTCGAGCCGCTTCTTCTCCTGACAACGCGTCCGTGGCCAGACCTCCCTTGCGCCCCATCTCTCTATAGCCCTCTGAACCTATCTGCTCTTTCCGCACCTCTCCTCCCTTGCGCCCCATCTCTCGATACCCCTCTGAACCTAATTGCTCTTTCCGTGCTTCTCCTCCCTTCCGGCCAGCTTCGCTTCGCTTTTCCGACACGTCTTCATCATCGAGATTCGTTGTACGAGTACTCTTCCCTCGTCCTCCCTTCTCTCCTCCCCTCTCTTCTCCTTCTCCCTCTTCGTTATCCTCACCTACCCCTGCTTTCTTGGCTTTCGCCCCCTTGCGTCCCATTTCTCTGTACCCCTCCTCTGCCCCTCCAGGGTACTCCTCTTCCATCTGCGCTTTTCGAGCTGCACCTCCTTTCCGTCCTGCTTCGCGGCGTTTCTCGCTGACGTCATTCTCCTCGTCTCTGCTGCTGCGACTTCCTCCCCCTCCACCTCCTCCTTCTGCTGCCGTTCCACTTTGACGGGCAAAGTTCGATCGCGAGTTGTCGTCCCCTTCCGGGACTTCCCCTCTCCTGGTCGCAAAAGGTGGACAAAATCGAATAGCTACAGGATCACTGCCTGTCACCCTTGCTGTTAATCTACGAAGACTTCCTTGCCTTTCCCTTGTTGTCGATCTTCTTATTGCCCAAACGGTCCGTGCGGAGACTGGATACAGCCGGAACGGCTGATGCAAACAGCCTGCTATCGTTGACAACAACATATTCACTCGCTCTCCGTCCAAGCACCAACTTCACAACTCTCTCTCTCTCTCTCTCTCTCTCTCTCTCTCTCTCTCTCTCTCTCTCTCTCTCTCTCTCTCTCTTACTTTGTATCTGTATGTATGTGTGTGAGTCGCCGACTGCAAACAGTGTGTGTGTGTGGGAAACAACGACTGAAAACTCCCACAGTCCGCCCGGTGAGGACGTCGTCTTCTGCCCACGTTGGACTGCCAGGTGCCTGGTGCATCCAGCGAATCTTCTCCTCCTCCTCCTCGTCCTCCTCCTCGTCTGTTCACGTGGATGGTTGGAGTATAACTACGTCCGCTTGCCGCTTACGTTAGACCCGTCGGCGCACACCCCAATCGCATCGGCGAGACTTCAATCGCTGAGGCTTCGCAGTCGATACTCGCAAGCGCGTCGACGATTCGACGAGCTTCCTTTCTTAAAGCGCGACTCACTTCCCTGACTTCGATTCACAGCCTTCTTCTTCTTCTTGACTTCTTGACTTCTTGACCCCCGTTTCTGTCGTGCTATGGCTTATAATGTTTCGCCCAAAGCTCGATGAGGTCTCGGCATCAGAAGCACCGGCCATTCCTCTCGCTCGCGCCCGATTTCCAACGTCTTTGAGACGACAAAAATACCAAGTCCTGACGGAGTCAAAAGTGGCCGGCCGAAGGGTAGAGACGCATTTGTCGCATGTGATTGATAATAGTCAAGAGCCGGGGCAAGGTGCCACTTACGCAAATTAGGAGATTTCGGCCGTTGATCCCTGCTATCTACGGTCACGCCGGTCAGTATTTATTAATTCGTGCAAGTGGGACCTAGCGCCCGGCCCTGAAATTCGCAGCCAGGAGGGTGCGCTTGTGTTGGTGGGTTCCATTTTCGTTCGTCGTTTCAGTTTTTTTTCTATTTTCGATAAGGTCGTGCAGTACGACTTCGCTACCGTCTTCCCCCACAGCACAACGCACCCTCATTCTGCCTGTATCTGGGCGGAAACATACCTTGTATGCGTTCCTTTTCAGGGTGCGTTATGTTCCGGGGAAGACGGTAGGATGGGTTCGTTTGGGGTCTCCGACAGCAGAAAATAGGGTCTGGCCTAAGACCGGTCGTAGGGCAGGTCATCTTGTCATGTTCCTTGCAACTTAGTATAGGGCGCCGTCCATTGTTTCCCTTTTGAGGGATACAGTTCTTTCCTGTTGCAAACTGGGGGGCGGGCCATATGGATCTCGGCTGGCCATTTGGCTTTTGTTTTTTTTCTCTTCTACTGCATCTTCCCAGAAATACAGTATCGAAACATTCTGCTGTTTATTACTAACGAAATCTAGAACGGACCACGTTCTCCCATGTACCGGGTTGATTTGTGGGGTGTATTTGTGGGGTGTATTCCCGGGCCCCTGTTCTCACCCTCTTTGGATTGGAATAATTAAAAAAAAAGAGAAAAAAAAGAGAAAAAAAAGAGAAAAAGAAATCTAGAACGGAGTGCCGGACTGCCCAGGGGCACTGTTCCACTAGCAAAGGAGTAAGGAAAACCGTGTCCCACAAACACCTTTGGGACATCTGCGGGACATCGTCCGATTGCGAGGGATTTATATTCTGAAGTGGTGTTTTTTTTTTTTTTTTTTTTGTGCTTTTTCTTTCCAGTTCCCAAGATAGAGGCGGGAAAAGAAAATAGAAAGACTCGTTTTATGGCAGCTCTTCAAAAGATTAAAAAAAATCAAGTACTCGAAGGGCATAATTTTGACCCCCTTCTTTTTCCGGGTCAATTGTTAACCCCATCCAGTACTTCGATTCTCTCAAAATATACGAAATGCACGCTTCAGCATGGCAACCGTCAGAGGAGGGAGTCCCATCAGGCACACGAAGGGACTCCCTCGASRTGGTATGCGAGACTGCAACAGTCACGTACCACTCTGTCCTGATTAGGTRTTGGCTGGGTGGGGAGCAGAGGGTGGAGACGGGAGGGTTAGTGGGACGGCTGCACTTTCAAAAGTCCGACTTCTTCCCATCTTGGGAAATGTACCGTCGCCATTTTTCTTTTTTTTTAAGTCTTTAAAATTACTTTTCTTCCTTTTCTTACAGTGCCGCACAGGTCCAAATTGGCCATGACTCGTGTGCTAGTGGAACCGTGCCCCAGCAGGCCTTTTGGCAGGGTTTACTAAGAAAAGAAAAGAAGAAAAAAAAAATGTATAGACTTTCGGAAAAAAGAAGAAGGAAAAACGCACTGCCCAGGCCCCGTCCAGATAAAATAGTAAATAGTCATGCCGTAGATGATGCTAGATTGCTCAGAAGAGAGTCGTTGAGTTGGGCCGCAGAGCACTCTTCAAAGCGGCTGGTTGATTGTGTTGATGTGACGTGCAGGTTTGCCTACGCGATGGGAGCAGCGGCTGGCGGAAGGAATCCGGAGAGTGCGCAGCGTGAGTTGACGCAGTCTGCTGCGATCGGTCCTGCGCCAGTTACTTATGCTCTTGCTGCTCCCGGAAATAGTGGAGGTCGGACTGCCGAGGATTCGCATCCTGCTGGGTGAGTCCCGATGGTACCTCGAGATGAGCCAATGATATTGCTCGGTAGATGCACCCGCCGTAGATCTTGAAAAAAATAGAATAACAGATGAAAAAAAAACTGGCCAACTATAGATGAAGAAAATCAACCGTAGTCGTGATGCCCAGGAAAGAAAAGACAATTCCCACGTCGTTGGAACCATGGGTCTCAAAAGATGAAAAACCAGGGCTGTGTGAGTTGTAACCAACCATGGGGTCTGCTCCAGGAGAATTGCTGCTCAAACCCGGTCCAGATAAAATAGTAAATTGTCATGCAGCAGGTGATGCCAGATTGCTCATAAGAGAGTCGTAGAGTTGGGCCGCAGGCCCACACACCTCCTATGCCGTTCCAAATCCTTCCATCATCCACACGTGACTTGTCATCTTGCAGGGAGTGGTGGAACGAGCGGATGAGTGATGGAAGTTGGCATCAGAGGCAAGCGACACCGGAGATAGCAAGAAGTTACCAATCAGGGTTGGAGTGGAGCAACTGTTTGATTGAAGAGTTTGGTCTAGGAAGGCGATGGCGAAATGGGATGAGGAAACTTCTTCTTGGTTTGAATGAGTGACTCGAAAGAAATGGTGTAGAAAGAAGTTGCATGACATGTAATGATTCAGATGTTTAAGCATTTCTGCGTAGTTAGTGGTTGGTGGAGATGGAGAGTCGGTGTTGGACGATAGATGGCGAAGGGGAGCCGATGGTTTGCCTTGAACTGTAGATGCGGTAATAAATTGTTTGAGTGGAAGTTTTCGTCTCTTAGGTCGGGAAGATTGAGAAATCCGTGTCAGAGTAGTCGTGTAAAGGCGTTCAGGAAAGCGTATAGAGAGTATGCTCTAAGTAGGGGTGTTATTGAGGAGTTTACACGTCCTTTGGAGTGAGAAAATTTGAGTATGGTTCTTGGCTACATACGAAATAAGGTGAAGATTCTAAAGAGGGGACGAGAGGCGGAGGCTTATCGTAATGCTGCAATGTTTCTTTATCTGTGGGAGAGTTGGCAGCGTTCAAGTTGTAGAGAGGGGTTGAGGTGAGTATGCTCTAAGTAGGGGTGTTATTGAAGAGTCTGCACGTCCTTTGGAGTGGGAAAAATTAAGGAAAGTTCTTGGCTACATACGAAATAAGGTGAAGATTCTAAAGAGGGTGCAAGAGGCGGAGACTTATCATGATGTTGCAATATTTTTTTATCTGTGTGGGAGAGTTGGCAGCGTTGTGGAGAGGGGTTGAAGTTGCAATACAAAGAGATAGATACAACGAAACGTGAGGTGCGACCAGGATATACAAAGACGGACAGACATGGCGGAAAATTTCTTATTAGGTTAAGAGAGCCAAACACTTAAGGGGAGACATTTTTAGGGATTCTTTCGAAATTAATTTTGTCATATGAGAATGTAGGTGTGGATATTAGCAATAGACACTTATTCAGGACTGGAAGAGAAGAAAATGCATGTGTGGGGGGGGGCTTTTAATAAGTGAGTGGAGAAATGGTTTGGGGAAGCAGGGGTGTATGAAGGTGAGAGTGGTCATAGCTTCCGGATTGGGTTTTGCGAGCAGGAATAGAGGAAGGTTGAAGCCTGGGTGAGATGATGAGGCAAGGAACATGAAACAGTGTTGAAACTTTCATGCGGTATGGGTACGGGATGCGACGCAGGTGGAAATGTGGAGTAGAGGAGAAGGAGAATGTGGATGCGGGAAAGTTATGATAGGTTTGGTTGATGATTTGAGGGTGAGTTCTAAGTTTAGAACAAAATGGCGGAAATACCTATTAACGCAGGATTCGGACAACAAAAGTGGACCCAGGGACTTGAAATGCAGGAATATTCTGATTTTGGAATGATGAATTTTATAATGGTATTGAGTGAAAGGATGCGGGGTAACCAGTTAGCTTTAGAAGATGACGAAAAATGAGTAAGTATGTAGCGGCGGAGAAGGTTGAGCGAGAGAGAGAAAATCGTAAATGTAGCGGGAGAGAGAGTTGAGCAAGAGAGAGAGAGTTATAAATGTAGCGGGGGAGAGGGTTGAGCGAGAGAGAGAGAGTCGTGAAGCAGAGAGGTGGGAGGAAAAAGTCATTTGTAGGGATGGGATAAAAAGTCATTCGAATCGATTGAGAGGGAATCGGTAAAAGAAGATTTTGAAGACCAGATTCTGGAGGTGAAGAGGAGGGAGGTGTGATGATAGTTTGATGTGAAGAGATCAATAACAAGGGCGCCGATGATTGAAAATATATCATGGATAACATCGTTGGTAATACCACAATCAGTGTTATCTTGGGTTTTTGATAAGGTATCAACAATTCTGTTCAGGCATGGAGGAATTCAAACTGGGGTGAGAAGTGTGTCATTGTTTAAAAGAATTGAAGTGGTTTTACGCAACCAAGGGTTGAAGATAGGGTCTGATGAGCGCAGATCCGAAAGAAGAGCAATAGAGGATTGACTATCCGAAAGAAGTCTAATGAATGACGAGATGAGAAGGTTAGGGTGGTTTGTTATGAGGAAGAGAAAAGTTTCGAGAATAGCAAAGAGTTCCCTATGGGTTGAAGAAGTTTGAATGAGTTCATCAAACACACATTGATTGATGGTGATAGGAGGGAGTATAGAGGGGGGTATTATTACTCCGATTTGAAGAGCGGGTGCATCTATTGAGATTAAGGAAGTTGGTTTTCTGATTGTCCAAAGACGACTTGGTAGATGAGGGAGGTGGCTTAGCCACCAAAGTAGGTCGAAGATGAGATCGTCAAAAAATTGTATAGACGTGTCGTAGTTGGCTGGTGTAATTGAGTCATAGAGAGTGGAGGTGAAAAGAGGGGCAGGTAAGAAGGCTCTTGAGAGTGCTATTAACTTTCCT